TTTTAATAGTAAAAATGTTTTTTGACAAACATCAAACCCAGTGTTTTTGTCAGAAACAGTATTTTAGTCAAAAAGGAAGTTCTTAAGTTCTGAAATACCTCTGCAGTATTTCCTAGGAATTGCTCTTTGGGTTCCTCATGCTCCCATTATCTTCTGTATAGCTTTCCTGGTTGGAATTCACTTTCTGCAATACATCTATTCTTCACTCTTGGGGAAAAGTAGTATGTCAAGACAGTCACAAGGTTACAATAGATCTCCAGCTGGAAGGGCCTGGCCGATAGGATAAAAGCAGGTACGAGTATGGGGCAACCAATTCTGACTCCCATGCACCAATATTGCAGCATTTCAGTTTCAAAATACTAATTGCTGGGCAACATGTATACATGCACAACATGCATATTTTTGTTTCTAAACATTCACTTTTAATTTTTACTAAAAATCAACATTTTTGACAACATGATACTTTTGTGAGAAAGTATTTGTTTGAAAACTCATATATTGTTGAAAAAATACATATTTGATGGGAAATCAAAAAGTATTTGATTTCCCAGCCTTCCAGCCTTACAGTCTATGAATCTTACATTATCTGCAGGGCCTCATTGGCTAGGGGCAGACCTTACACACAAACCAGTTTAAGTCATCAGAAACTGGTTTAAGTCTGTAACAGAATATAAATTCAGTGCACATAAACCAGTTTAAAAAGGGCTGAGACTGGTTTAAGATAAATCTGGTTGAATGTAGTATCAGACTTAACTGATTTGGGTCAAACTGGTTTATGAAACTTCTATCCCAGACCACTTCCTAGTTTAAGTTAAATCAGAGTCCTCCAGCATCCAAGCATGCTCTGTAGGCCTGGGCTGGGTTGGGCTGTCTGTTCCAGCCAGGCAGGGTTGACCCCACCCCTCTCTTCCCTAGCCAGAGCACTAACACTGCTCTGGCTGGCTGAGAAAAAGGTGGGGATGGGAAACCCTGCTCTGGAGTGCTGCTGGATCTGCCCAGCAAGGGGGCAGCATCCCTTGCCAGGTGTTCCTGTCCCCTAACCCCCTCACTGCTCCAGTGGCAGAAGCAGTGGCAGGGCCAGACTCCAGTAGCCTGAGGGGAAGCGGAGGTTTAATCCTCGCATTGCGGGCAGGGCAGCACAGGCATCGATAGGCAATGATAGGCACTGATAGGGTCCATTGTCTCACTGTCCACACTCCTGGCCTGTAGAAGTTTGTCCCACAGCCCAGGAGTGCAGCCCAGTCCAGCCTGGCCCTGAGGCTCAGGAGAGCAGGCAGTGACTGGGCCACGGCAGCACACCCTTTCCTCTCCTGGTGATGGAGGGAACCATCGCAGCAGGCAGAGGTGAGGCATCTGTCACCCACTGCCTGCTTACGGTGCCACTGGGTGCTTGAAGAGGGCTGCCACAAGCCAGTCGCTGCCTAAGCCCCTGGGCTACGGAGCCAGGCCAAACCAACCTGCACTCCTGGCCCACAGGGCCAGCCTGGACCGGGCTGTGACAGTCCATTGCCTGTCCCAGCCACTGCCCAAGACCCTGGCCCACAGCAACCTACCCTGAGTGCCTGGTGCCACCACGAGCAGGTGGCAGGTGACAGATGATTCACCTGTGCTCGCCGCAATAGTTTAGGGAGGGGATGGGGAGTCACTGCAGCCTGCTTGTAAACCATGGCGCCCATGTGGGGCTGGAGGTGGCAGGTACTGAACCCCTCCCCCTGGGGCTGCCCCAGCCTAAGAGGCACCAGTGAGTGGGCTCCATACTTAGAGTGGCTCCCCCCCTCCCTACAACCAGGTCACATCCCTCCTCCCCACAGCCAGCTGGCCACTCCGTGGAGGGACTCAGCCTAGGACACTGTGCTGGTGCCCCCTCGTCGCTGCTACCTGCACTGGGGGGATTAAACCCCACCCCTTCCCTCAGGCTACTAGCATCTGGCTGCTGCAGCCCCAGGTGCATGAGTTAAGCCTGTCAGTGCTCACACTGCCCACCCCCCTGCAATGAGGGGATTAAACCTCCCCTTTCCCTCAGGCTACTGGGGTCTGCCCTGCTGCCAGCCAGTGAGTGAGCAAGGATGGGAGCGGGGCTGGGGACCCCTGACAGAGGCTGTTTCCCCCTGCCCCTCCAGGCAGACCCCAGTTGGGGTCTCTGTAGGCCAGGGTGGAGGGTTTAAACACCTCCCCAGTCACACATAGGCTTGTCCAAGCCTGGCCACGTCCCCCCCAGCTTAGTTTCCCTCCAGCCAAGGGCTCACTCTAGCATCCCCCAGCTTCTGACCTGAGCCACTGCAGGCATGTGGCTACATATTCAGAGTCAAAAGTGAATGCCTGTTCACTTCCTTATTGGTTCAGACTATGCAGGTTAGACTAACCTGCAAAGATTGAATCAATTCAGGCTCCAGCTTTTTTAATGTCTGTCCCTAGCTATTAATTCTACATACACTCTAAAAAAAATTGATATCATCCATGTTTTGGTGGTATAGGTTGTAGCCATGTTGGTAAGAACATAAGCAGACAAGGGTGTTTTTGGGTAAATCCAATATCTTTTATTAGACTAACTAAAGTTACTTATATTTCATTATGCCGGAGGTATCAACACATGTAATTAATGCAACTGAATACACTCCAGCACAATGTCAGTCTGAGTAAATTAATTCCAATGTTGCCATCTACGTGTGCATTTAAGTTCAGGAATTTACTGTGCTTCCGGATACCACTTGTATCTGATAGGACTATCCAGAGGTGCAGTAAATTAGTTTATTGCACCCTAATTGCTACACACATGTAGACAGTGATACTTTACTGTGCAGCAAATTAGTCTACTGCATAGTAGGGCATTTTGTGTAGACATAGAATCATAGAATCATAGAATCAATAAGTCAGAAGGGACCTAGACAGATCATCTAGTCCGACCCCCTGCCATGGGCAGGAAGGAGCACTGGGGGTGGCAGGGGTCATAAGATTCCAGCCAGGTGCCTATCCAGTCTTCTCTTGAAGATGCCCAGCAAGAACTCAAGTTCCTTAGGCTTCTTTCAACAATAATGTTGAAATAGCTTCTGCTATTAACTGCTGCTTTCTATTATAGTCTTCAAATGTCTCAACCTTTATATTTTCCAAGTTAAATATTTATTTTTCATTATTTGCTCTTGCAACACTTCCTAAGTGTCATCTGTGGCTTCCATTTATATTTTTCAGATCATTAATAGGACCCCATTCTAGCAACAGTTCCCCCAATCCAGTACATCAAGCTATTTTTCAGTCTTCCTAACAATGTTAAGAATTCATTTTGAGTGAACAAATCCAGGACATGCTGTAAGAAATATGTACTGAAGTCCAACAGACTACTGAATGTCCCTTACTCCAGGTCACGTTGGAGTAGAGGACTCTGAGTTTTCTAGCTATACAGCTTAAAGTTTTGGAGATATTGGTGAGGGAAGCATTCAGAGCATTATGAACTTGATCTTACCTCTTATCTACAAAGAATAATTGGAAACATAGCATTAGACATTGGAAGACTTGATATGAGCAGCCTACAAACCACTAGCTGCAAAGAAGATTTGGGTTATTTAAGGTTCTGGGCTAGTAGGCAATCAGTATCTTTTCCTATGTTGATCCTTTCTTATGAAAATGTCTAATGCTGTTTACATACACTGTTATGTAAATGGTCTTAGACCCTGAATCAAAACAGCCAAACTCTGCTTTCTTTGTACCATACAAGAATTTTAAGGTAAATGGAAGAACACAATTTGAACTGAGGGCATTATTTGATTTTCATGCTAACTCTGTCATCTAGCCTATGTTGTAGGGAAAGGATTTAGGGATTCTTGTAAGGAAAATGCTTCAAATTCTTAGCCCAGTTTGGTTACATAGACCAGCAAAATCCTTATTGCATTCGCCATGCCATGCCCCTTGTGGCCATTTCACCATCCCTATGCACACAATGGACCAGTCCTAGCCACCCTGCTGCATATTTTTGGGTAGAAGACCACAGACATCTGTTATCCCTTTTTACCAGGGGCAATGAGTAGGGGGTGCATGTGGGCATAGAGGTGCACCCCTCGCAAAAAGGCACTGCCGACACTGCTGGTGGCATCTGCAGGTGGTTGCCAACCCCTGGTTGGCACTAGCCACCCGCCTGCCGCCAACAGTGCCAATGGCGTCTGCAGGAGCTCCCCCGCTTACTGCCGCCGAGCTCCCACTGCCGCGCTCCCACTGCCGCCAATGCAGCTGTGCCCCCTCAGCCGCTGGGGGCACGTGCCATTCATGCTTTTTACCCAAGTAGTTCACTACTACTTTCTCTGGCTTCTGTAAAAGTTGAGCAGGGTTTTGATCTGTCTGAATGGAACAGTCTATACTGTCAAAAATGTCTATTAGCAGTTAGAATCATATGCATTTTAGATGTTACATTTACAAACACAGTATCTAATAACAAATGCAACAGTGCTCCTTCCTTGTCTCTCTCTCAGAGGATAATCACTTCAAGGACCTACTTTCAACAATCCTTTTCACATACCGCTTCATTCCAAAGAATTGTTGTGATTCACCTCAAAAGGATTGCACGCATATTAGTCAACCCATTTTAAGTCTTCAAAACAACACAGTGGAAGTCATGTTCTAGCAGGCAGTGCTAAAGTACTACATATTGGTAGTAAAAGGGAGACAGAGAAAATGTTGGGCCAAATTTATCTTTTGTATAAACAGACACAGTAGTAAGTGACTTTAAACCCACAATAGGGCTGAGCTAAGGTTTGTCTTAAAACTGATAATTATGTTGGACAGACTGTACAACCTACAAAATAAGTGGCTCTGACTGTTTACTTGTACTACAGTAAAGATGAGAGGCCAGGGCCCCATTGTACAAATATACATAAGACAGGCAGAGCACCTGTTTAACACAACTGTTATGTCTAAAAGAATCTTTTCTGTGTGACAGGCTTTTTGTGAAATAATCCCTGTGGCCAGCTTATGATTGGTTGTTCACATAATGTCAATCAATCACTTTCTTGTAGGATATGACTACTGGGTAAGACAGCATCTCAAAGACAAGAGTGAGTATGAACAAAGGGAAAATGTTGTTTGAGTCTGAAGACTGCTTTACATGTAAGTAATCAGCTCTGTATTACAGTCTTTCTTCAATATATAATAAATGATTTATGTGGTTTAAATAGTACTCCATTAGTATTATCCACACCACTGAGCTCAGTTTATTATTGTTCTGTACTACAACACTGTTTGCTACTACTACTATTGATGGAACTTGATGGTAATAAGGTAAAATATGATTGCCGCTCTACATTTAAAAAGCCCCTTTCTATATGAATCATACATTTATGTTAGAAAATGTAGAAGACCTTATGAAACCAACTTCTCAGTACTCACATGAGGATGCTTCATAAGTCTGAGGATTGATTGTATTTATGCAAATCCAAGGTGACCCTGAATTTAAGACAATCATCCAAGCAATTAGATTCTTTACATGGAAATCTAGAAATTAGTTATTTTCCAAGTGCAGAATCTAATTATTGGAGACTTGTCTTAAATTTGTCCCCATCACCACTGCAGCAGGGAGAGAAACAGTAGGGGGCAGGTGGTGGGGAAGGCAGTAGGGGCAGGTTGGGGAGGAAATAAGGGGCAGGCACTCATAGTGAGGAACAAGTCTTTGCAAATCCCTCCCTTCAGCTTCCTTTGATGGATTTCTCAAAGATGGATCAATTGAGAGATTTTGTGCTATTGGGGAGGGGAGTAGATTTTCCTTCAGAGTACAAGAACTTGTTCGTGCAGTATTTGGCATTGCAAGACATGGTGCAGGCTCTTAAATTAACTGAATGTCCTTTAAAATGGTTTAAAATGTATTCACAATGGATCTATTGTGTCCAGGGTGGTCCATTCTGTTTTCATGCCACTTACACCTGCAGACAGTCTACTATAATGGGAGACATTTTAAAGGCTCCCCCACCCCCACCGCCTCTTGTTGGATAATGGGAATTTGTTATTATATTTATGGGAAATATATCCCAAGAGTTCCACAGAGATCTAATGCTTCTGTAGTTGGGAGTATTCCACCCTCAGTAGATACAAGAGACTATTTCACAGTTCACTACTTGCCTCTGTGTTGAGTCCATCATTTTTGTAAAGTTGTAATTTTAACCTAAGGTTACAATTTGTTGAATCCCTTCTAGAAATGAAATAGAGAGTCAAATTTCATGATTAAACAATTTCTAATGTATGATTTCCACTCTAATGTAAATCAAACTACATTTTATTTTAACACACTGATTCATATATAGTGAAATGCTGGAATTTAGCCAGAATTTACCGAATGTTTAATGATGTACTTCCTAATGGGATAAATTCTCTTCTGCAGCACAGCTGCTTGGCTGAAGGCAGGGGCTGGCATCAGATAACAAGCTCTAACTCCCTCATTTTGTAGTCCTTGTACCACCAGATATATCCATAAGTTTGGCCACTGATGTATGGTTCTTTAAAGGACACTACACCAGTGAGAGGTTGGTATAGCACAGCTCTACCAAGTCCCTCCATGCCCCAATGCAGTCCTAGCAGAAAGCAGAGGCAAAGCTGGAGGATTCAGCAGCGCTACAGATATGTGATCATGGCCACACAGCTGGAATTTTCTGCTAGTGATTTGTTGTAGATTATATCCCACTTATAATTGATAGGAGTTGCACCCATGTTAAGTGATTAAAATTTGGACTATTGATTGTTCTGATTTTTTTTTAAATCAGGCTGTTCTGTAATTCTGAATGATGTGAAAGCATTTCTTCTTATGACTCTTCCACTGCAGCTTGATCTTATTGTTGAACAATAGCATTTAAATACATTGCATCAGATCTAGTGATGGAGACAAACTGGACCATATGTTTGCTACTCCTCTTATCTGTTACTATGGTGAGTTATAATGCTTTTCCTGGTACGCTTAATACACAGAAACAATACATCTTGTCTAGCTCTTGTACAAATTTCTGAAAAGGACACTCCCCTTTAAAATGATATCCATCTTTTAAAGCCTGTGTGTAATGGGATGGGATTTTAAAACCCTTTGCTTGTATTGATGGCAGGTGTCCCTTTTGCTAGTAATGGGTTTTTTAGTGGTAAAAGTTTCTGACCTTGTACACATGTATGTCCAGGCAGTATCTCATTTGTAGCAATTTGAGTAGAGCTTTCATATTTTTAAATAAATAGACTTACTAATAGTAAGATCTTTAAAATGAAAGTTTGATTTATGGGAAGTAGTATATTCAGTAAAGCCTTTTGTATTTTACATTTAAAAATGACTATTTTTGTGATTGTGTAAACTCAGAATGGTATTTCCTCTATAGCCTCAATTTCTCACAACGATGCCTAGATTTTTCACCTCCCTGTTTTGGTGTTTTACAGTGGTTTGATTTGTATATAGAAACCATGAGTGTCTAAATAAAAAACAATCCAAAAGTCTTAGTGATTTTAAATGGGAAATCTCCTTAATGCAATATTCTTTTCAGCCTGATTCAAAGGCCTTTGGGGTGGATATTAAAATATCCGTTTACTTCAGTAAGCTTTGCAAAAGACTCATTTTTCTCCCTACATATTATTCTTTTCCACAGTAAATTATAATCTTTTGTAATTAGACAATTGCACTGTCCTCAGGGACTGTTTATTCAGATTCAACACTAAAAAATATCACCATTAAGGGGGGGAAAATCAGGTTGTTTGTAATGGATCATACTGTTCTTTTTTCTAGTAAAGTTATGTAATTGTTTTTGCAAAATGATTGTCTGTCTGTATGCTTACATGAATAACCAAAGACTTAGATTAGCAGTTAAACAAAAAGTACTGTGAAAAGAACAATAACTTTTAAAAACAAACAAGCAAATAAAACCCTCCTTTTTCTTTTTAGTTTTTTGCCGCTGCTATACCAGCTGAGGCACATCAGAATAATACAGAAGACATTGGTCAGCTGAGTGTTACCCGGAATAAGATTATGACAGCACAGTATGAATGCTATCAGAAAATCATGCAAGATCCCATTCATAGAAAAGAAGGTAAAGGATATTTCTTTGAAGCAGAACGTTTTGAACTGCATTCATTAGAAGACTAAAAGTCATCTTTCTTTCTTGGTAGCAAAATTTTGAATTTGCAACATGTTTTTTTAATTCTGTTGATGCTGCTTTTAAACAAATTATCATTGCCTTGCCAATGAGGAAGAATAAATAAGCGCTGTGGAAAGACACTATAGTACCTCAACTACCCAAAATATTGCTGCCCTACAGACTCCAGTGCTATAATTACACATATAGATAGAATTATACATCTAGATTCAACTCCACTCCAGTTGACAATGAAGAAAGTTTCTTCATTAGGGTAGTAGCTCTTTGGGGTTCTTCTACCCCTTTAGGCAGTTGTCTTTGAAAAAATGAAAGCACCTTCATATTAAACAGGTGATATAGGGACTTACTTTGAAATGTTCACATGTTGAAACACACAGGTTATCTTCTAACTTTTAGTTTCAAGAAGGAAACTATTCTTTATCTTTCAAGTATTCAAACCATTTCTGTCCAGACAGAAGCCAGTGAATATATTTAGCACAGAATGCCCTTTGGTTTCTACTGATCCCATTTTGGAGGAACTTCAAATGCAAGCAGGATCTAAGACTATAGATGATATCAGTTTTTCTTTTTGCCATTTATAAAATCATGCATGGTCTTTTAAGCCATAATTTGTTTGCTGCTTTGCAAAAGGTACCTGGCAGAAGAAACTGGAACCCAGGATGGCTCCCTCCCAGGAAAGTGCCCTCATCATGGAGCTACAAGATCTAGAAATAACTCTGTCATTAGAGAGGAAAACCTATGACTCTTCTCCAGGAAGGAGCCAAAATAACTAACTTACAAAGACATAGTCCTCCTTGATTGTTCTGCTTCTGACCTTATGGTTCTTTTATTCTTGGTTCTAAGCCAATCCAGTCCATAGCTTAGTGATTAGGATGCTTTCCTAGGAAATGGCAAATGGGGGGTTGAATTGCCTCAGGGGAAGGAGGGGCCATAGCCCTGATCATCTACTTCCTGAGCAAGTAATCTTATCAGTAGTCTATTAGGGTGGTGGATACTATCACCCTCATTGGTATGTTTGAGTGGTCCTGTGCTTTATACTGATCCACTGACATTATCAGGTATTTTGGAAGGTATTGCCTTCTGAGTGGTCCCTAGATTGTGACATGATGGATGTACTGCCTTCACAGCCATAAGTTTGATGTGTAGATATTGAGCAGGAGAGGGAATTTGGGCATTTCTCTGTCTTGCCTTTTCTATTACTGAATCATATGCCAGTACTGCTGAGCAACAAGCCACCTGGGAGGTGCATTCAGTGCCTTGAAAGTATTCAAATACACCAAATGTGCAATGGGAGGCACATCCAGTATATAGGAAGTACCTAACCCCTTCAGTTTTGGTTCACCTTTCTGAGGCACCTATATTATGGGTGTTGGGCTGCTGAAATGGAGACATCTACAAGGTTAATTTAAATCTGTTCCTAATTGCCCTCAACTCCCACTGAATTTAGTTTTCCATATGCCTATTGGGATTAAGATCACACAATCTGAAGTGGGGACTGTGGAGCCTGATTAATGTTTGTCTATTACTTTTAATGATATTTGGTAGGACTTTAGAAATTAGAGAGGGGCTGAGATTTGCATTTTGCTCTCAAATTTGCAAATAGATTAAATTAAACAGCTTCAAATTTTGGTTCATTTGAAATTCAGATCCAGTACTGATTTGAATGGGGTAGGTTTAATAGTCTGAATTGCTATCTAAGAAATGGCAAATCTCAGCTTTGTGGACTGAAATGCATGTCTTAATGTTGGGTAGTGGGTACTGCTATGGCATATATACTTGCATTAACATGCCCAGATTTTCAGAGTCAATAATTAGCCTGGTCGTTGTGTCACATTGATACAGTTATACTCTTGCCAGTATGGTACCCAGGTTAGCTTGGGTCATTTTACATTGTATTTCATTGTGCTTTGTATGCTTCCTGTGTGTTCTTGGCTGTTCTTAACACTTAACACATTCATGATAGATGTGTGCCCATATGAGTATTTCCTAACAAATGCATGATCCCAGAGTCAATATATTTTTGTTAAAATGTTTTATTTATATCTTTTTGAGTCTTTTCAGGCAATGTACTGTGCTTAGTTTAATGCTGATTTAAGAACCACAATTTTAAAAAAGAAATAAATCCTATCCATAGTAGAAGGTTAAATTATACTTTTTCCCTCTTTAAATCTTTTTTAAAACTTTTAGAATCCTAAAAATTAGAAAGGAGCAATCCCAATTTTCTATACTCTTCTCCTAATGAAATGCTTATGCTGAAGGCAATATTTGCAATTTAGACATAACCATTAGTGTCCAGTTTTGAGCACTGTACTTTGAAAAAAGGGTAGACAAAAGAGAACAATGATAACAGGTTCAAAAAAGCACAGCCTTTGAAGACAGATGGAAAGAATTGGGTTTGTTGATGACTTCAGGGAAACCTGGTGGAAGTCTTTAAGTATGTGAAAGATTCCTATGAACAGGACAGCGATAGCTTATAGTTTATGTCTACCAGGGGTAGAATAGGAAGTAAATTTGTTTCAACTTCAGCAAGAGAGATTTAATATAGATTTAAGACTAACTTTTTGAGCACTGGAGATGGCCACTTAGGGAGGTTGAGAGTGCTTTTAAAACAATTTAGACCAGTGATTCTCAATCAGAGTGCTGCAGAACCTGAGGTCCTGTGAGATCCTTTTAAGTGTTTCATGCAATATTAGCCTTGTTAGGCAGGTAAATACCTATGTGTGACTCACAAGATAAACCCAGAGATTTCACGTTAGGATCCATTCCATCAGAAACATACTGCTGTGGTCTTTCTAAATTCTTTGAACAGAAGAATTGCTCTATTATTTTTTCATACCAATAAAAAAGTGAAAGCTATAAGCTGGCATTTTTTGAGGAGGGCCTTCAGTCTAAAAATGTTGAGAACCACTGATTTAGATAAATCAAGTCTTTTACAGATTTTTTGATTGAAATGTTTCTGTGTTTCGTGCTGAAAGTATGCAAACTATAATACTAAGAGACTTGAGTAACTTAAAGAAATTGGTTTGTACAGACTCTCTTACAGATTCCAGCCCTTGCTATGGAAAGATCTGTGTGAATTGTATTTGATTTCCCTTCATGTTTATAGGTACTTACTGTAACAGAACATGGGATGGTTGGTTGTGCTGGAATGATGTTGTTGCGGGTACCACATCAGTACAACGCTGCCCTGACTATTTTCAGGACTTCAACCCATCAGGTAAAAGTAGAGGAACCTCTGCACTGAGGTTGCTTGAAAAAATTGATTGTGGCTGATTGAATGCTCCTGTCAACCTAGTGGCCAAGCTCAAGTCACTGGTTTAACTAGGATCCAGTTAAATGCAGGTTTACTTGATAGGTACACATTATCTACCACATTCACTGGCCACATAAACAAGCATGCAGCACCATCACTACCACACCACCACACCACTAATTGCACCTCTAGCATTCAATAAACTAAAAAAAAAAGTCAAGGACAGGTCAGATTTAGCTAACAAATGTTATCTGAGCCCAGCATCCACCCCAAACTTTCCCCTAGTGCATACAGTGACATAGTTTAACATCTTTTTAGCTCAATTTAGCTGATTAAGGTCAAATGTAGTCTTCCACTAATGTGAACCCGATCTCTTCCCATAGTCTAATTGTTTTTCCTCTGTGGCTAAGCTGAAGCTATTCTAGGCTTCTGTTCCTGTGGTGATCCTGACTTGGAGGTTTCCGAATGCCCTTTCACATCTAAGAGCTTTTGGTCTGTCACTGTTTGCTATATCGTAGCTATAAAACAGTCACTGAAAATGCAATTTCTAAAGTGACTTTTGACATTCCAAGTAATTTCACTCATGACATTTTTCTCTCTTCTCTGATCCTAGTTTACAAAAATAAAATCTCACATTTTAATTGAAATCCCTGACTGCCATATGCCATTTACATTTTCCTGTCACTTCCTCTAGTAGTGTTCTAACAGTGAGTGTAAAATATTTTTCTGAGTAACTGTATTAGAGAAGAGGGACTTTTTTTTCCCTTAGGGATACATCATTTTCCCTTGCCAAGCAAAAACAATGGCCTCCAGTTTCTCAGAATTCTAGTTTAATAAATCTGTCATTGGTTTGCCAAATTTTATGGACTATTAAATACTAGACATCAGAAACAGATCTTTGCTATTAACTTTTGTGGTTTCTGTTTTGTTTTCTGTTTTCATTTTCACTGGCCAAAGAAAAAGTTACGAAGATCTGTGATCCAAGTGGACACTGGTTTAGACACCCTGAAAGCAACAGAACCTGGACAAATTATACCCAGTGTAATAGCTATACACATGAAAAAGTGAAGGTAGGAAATAAATGCATGTTGCCACTGATGTAGGACTTTTAATATTCATATTACGTGTGTCAAAACCTAAATTCTGATGCAGCATTAAAGTAGCTATTTCATTGCTATTAAAACTGTATGTGGCAGTATTTCAACATAGAGGGAAGGCAGTCTGTACAGAGAAAAGGGGAAAGTGTGTTAAGAGCCTGATTTTCATTTAAGCGGTTTTTATTGGATTGAAGAAAATGAAATTGTATTTATTTACTAAACTTATGTCTTCCCCACACAAGGCTTAGGGTGTCTTACAAAATAACTTGAAAAAAGAGTAAAATATTAAAATAATATAGTATAACAAAGCAAACTGCCTCCCCAGCCCGCAAATTCAAAACAATCCATCCCAACCTACCTATTCCTATTCCCCTGCTTCTCACCTAAGAAAAGCAACCCTCCCTCTTCCCTACCCCATGTGCAACACAACATAATTTTGTTATTTCCATTCATTTGCTCCATGAAAGATAGTTTCGTTCCATACTCCCTCCCATCTTATCCACTCTCTGCCTCTCACAATAGAGATTCAGATCATCCCCTCTCACAAGGGAACTTTGCAAGGGGTGGAGGAGAAAATCTTTGTGAAGAGATCCCTTTTCAATCTGAAAGTTTTTGTTTGCTTTATCCTCCCATAGAGAGCCATGTTCCAAACACTGTAGAGTTCCAAGATGCACACAGATGTCTCTGCTCAGTACAGTCCCCTACCAGAAATGCAGAAATGAAGTTTCATTCTGGAGTAACTGTATCTCCAGCAAGGGGAGTGCCTTAGTAGAGCTAATTAAAAATAGGTTAATTTTTCATATTGATTTTAGAAAAAGAAAAATCCTGTTTTTATTGAAAAATTTGGACCAGCTCTACTCCACAGTGGATTCCACACAGGAACTTTGGGGTTTGGTTGGCATGCATTTCCCTTCTATATATGTCCTGGGTTCCAGAGAGTCATCTACCAAGTTAAGGACATAAACAACTGTGCCATCTGAGTGAACAAGACAATTTTCATTTCCACAGATCAGGCAGAGATAGATTTGTGCACAGAAAACTGTGTGTGGCATGTCCCATGCAATACAATATGCATAATAAGGACAGGATTACAATAGGCTTCAATGCAATTGGAAAATATGAGTCAGAAATCTGACAAGAGTTAGAAATAGCCGTTAAAACCCAACATCCCACCTGTCTTTGATTATATCATCTGTCTATGGCAGGGGTGGGCAATTATTTTGGGTGGAGGGTCGCTTACTGAGTTTTGGCAAGCCATCAAGGGCCGCATAACAGGCAGCCAGGGGCAGGTAACTATTAATTTTCTAAATTTTTTAGGGGCCCTGTGGGCCAGATAGAATGGCCTGGTGGGCCACATTTGGCCCGCAGGCCACATTTTGCCCACCCCTGGTCTATGGTATCTAGTGGTATTGCAGTTAAAATGAAATGTATTTCTAGCTGAACAAATATGAATATTGTTTTTAAATAAACAGTCAAAATTAAGGCACGTAGCAAATGGAATAATGTAAAACATATAAGTAAAAAGAGACTGAACTTTTAAATCTGTGGAGGACCAGTTTGTGAATGAATGTAAGCTCATTAAAGAGAATAAGGATCAATAATCCTGGCATCAGATAAGAATATTTAAAGGAAGAAATGGTAATAACCACCTATGTCAATTCTATCAGTCAAATTTAACTTGGTACTGGATAATCATCCACGTTAGAACAGCTACAAGCTATAATAAGAGTATATTTCTAAAGCCTTGCCTTAAATGATGGGAGAGACCAAGCATCTCTAAGTACAATTTAGTTTAGTAAATGGAACAAATGTCATTACTTTTTTATTCTAATATTTAGCTGCTAATAGAGGGAAGATTAGCCAGATTGGCAAAAGCAGAGCCATCTAGCACTCTTAGTGCAAGTAATCTATTGTGCTCTGACTTATTGTACTATTCCATACAAAAACCAACCTGACAAGAATGTGCAACTGCTTATTTAGTTATATATGTGGCTTGCTGAAAGATCATATCCTATGCCTTCATGGATCTTTCAGTAGGTCAGTTAAATGGGGCACAATGGATGATTTTTTTTAATGTTGCTGGCCAATATTATTGGCCAGTATGTAGCTTCTGCACAGCACATTGTACCCTGTTCAACCCAGTATTAAATTAGAAAGGAATCTTCTGCCCCTTCTCAGCTAAATGAGTCAGTACTCTCAGAGAGAGAAATAAAACATACAACCATATGTGGAAATACTTCATAAGGTAGTTAGGGGTCAGAGTTAAAAGTGCATGATCAATCTTTGCTTGGGAACTTCAGATTTTTTTAGTACTTCACTTGGCAACAATAACATTCTTTTAATGTCATTTGGAACAGACTTTCTTTGCACTATGCATCTTTTCTTTATAGAATGGAATATTTAATCAGAGGAACTACTTAGATTAAATCATTTTATATGGGTCCTACACAATTGGTACAGTGGATTTTCAGTGGTTAATTCAGGCTTCAACTGAGTTCATCTAAGCAAAGGAATGTCTACTACAGCTTCGTGTCCTAGTCCTGGTGGCACAAATTTGTTCTTTCAGTTCCACATGGAGAACCATCTTTGGTTGTTAGGCATATGGAATGAAGATTTGTTTTTCCTTACATGCAAAATGAGGATAATAGGCCTTACTTCATCACAGACAGATCTGTACAGCTAAATTTAATTATTTAGCAATTTAACATTTGTAAAGTGAATAGTTGTTCTTAAATAGGAAACACTAGGTAAGGTGATCTTAAAGAATTATTATTGAAGTTTAATGTACTGCTTAATCCAGATCTGCCTAGTCTGCCTATTTGGCTAAAGTTATTTTTGTTCCTCTTGCTTACAATTGATATGAAAAATGAACTATTTCTGACGTTTCATTAATTTTGCTTGCCATAATTATATCTAATCACTTTGTTAATTACTTAATTGTAATTGATATGGTAATTAGTTTAGTTAATTTCCTTTACCACCTTCAGGAATGCTAATTGAAAGTTGGCATTCCAGTATGATACTTGCACCCTGTTTTGAAGGAAATGTCTTTCAAAAGCTCCAACTAGAGAAAAAGAAATGATTACATAAATGGATTTTTGAAACTATAATTTCAATAGTAGGTTAATCAAATCTATGACATGGATGTGCCCAGCAAATGGCATGAATAACTAGAATTTTGTAAATACAAAGGCAAGATATAGGAGCCTCAGTTTAAGAAAAAAAGTCCTGACTGCTATTGCAGTGAGTTCTAAACACTGCTTCATCTTTTTTCATTTGTTTAATCCTGTTAGTTCTACATGTAATAGATTGGTCCAATTGTTTCAAATATGATAGTTCTATATTCTCCATAACTTATTCTTTATTTGGTTCCTTTATTACAGACAGCCTTGAATTTGTACTATTTGGCCAACATTGGACATGGTCTTTCAATTGCATCACTCTTGATTTCCCTTGGCATCTTCTTTTATTTTAAGTAAGTGTATTTAAAATTTTGCACCATGCCTTTTTGGTTATAATATTCCTGGGTAATCAGGTAACTTGAATCATCTTAAACATGCAGTCTGGTGTATGATCAAACTTGAATCATGTATTGACTTTACATTTGGTGCTACAGCATGATAGTAAAGAGAAACTCTCTTTTCCCCTGAAACCTAAGAAAAGGTACAAACAGGAATAGGTGGTACAAGCAGGGAGAATAAATAAAAGATTATGTTGATTTATATATGGAAGCTAGTGGCTAATGAAGGAGAGTGAAACTACCACAAATTAATAATGAAATTCTTTTGAATGACCCAGAATGACAGCTCAAGGTAAAGTTACTGATAGTAACTTATTGGCCTGGTCCATTTTCTTCAGCAGTGGGATAGGGTAATAAACCTCTAGTCCTGATGAGTTAACACTTTAATGTATTGAGCTAGTAGACACTACCCAACAGCTGTTTCATTAGGTTACTCCATCTTCAAGCGGTAAGAGGGGCCAGCATTTCAAAGGAATGAGAGGATGTTGTTTCCTTCCAAGCCTTGGAGTAGGTAATGAGCAGGAAGATACCCAAAATAATGAAGACACATTGGGCTAAATCCTATCACATCAAGCTCAGATAGTCAGGTTTCTGTCTCCTCTCTCTCTGCACCAAACCAACAAAGCAACTGATCTGTCTCATAGCATCTATTGATGTTGGGTTCTTCAGCACACTACTATAGTGGGTAATTTGGACAGATGGACTCTATCCACCCCTCAACCTTTTATCTTGTATTCTAGCCTTCAAACTCAGATGCATAGGGCCTACAAAGAGTATCTTCAGAGCTAAGGTTTCTGGCCCTATGTGTATGGATCCTCCATGGAACTTCTTCAGTTTGGCTGCATGGAGAAATTAGAACAATAGTAACATAGGGTTGGAAAGAACTTCAGGAGGTCAAGAGACTTCAGGATCTGGGTTTGTTCAGCCTGAGCAAAAGAAGGCTGAGGGGCGACTTGATAGCTACCTACAAATATGTCAAGGGAGAACACCAGGATCTAGGAGAGCAACTTTTCAGAAAAACACCCCTGGGAGGGCGTGGTCCAATGGACACAAGCTAGTCCAGGAAAAGTTTCGGCTGGACATAAGGAAAAATTTATTTTCCATACGGGTAACTAGAATTTGGAACACACTTCCAGCAGAGATGGTGAAGTCACCATCCCTGGAGGTTTTTAAGAGAAGGCCGGACAAACACCTCGTTGAACTCATTTGAGCCCAATTACCTCCTGCCCATGGCAGGGGACTGGATGTGATGATCTTACAGGTCCCTTCCAGTCCGTCTTTCTATGATTCTATGAAGCAGGATCATCCCCAGCTAGACCATCCCAGCCACAGCTTTGTCTAGCTGGGTCTTAAAAGACCTCCAAGGATGGAGATGCCGGAACCTCTCTGGGTAACTGTTCCAGTGCCTTACTACACTCCTAGTGAGAAACCTTTTCCTAATACCTAACCTAAACTTCCTTTGCTGCAACTGGAGACCAATTCTCCTTGTTCTATTATCTGCTACCATTGAGAACAGTCTAGCTCTATCCTCTCTGGAACCACCTTTCAGGTCGTTGCAGGCTGCTAGGCTTCTTTTCCACAGACAAAATTATTCCAGTTCTCTCAACCTCTCCTCATAGGTTATGTACCCCAGCCCTCTAACCATTTTTGTTGCTTTCTGCTGGATTCTCTCCAATTTATCCATATCCTTTCTATAGTGGGGGCTCAAAACTAGACTCCAGTCTCCAGATGCAGACTTACCAGTGCTAAATAGAGGGGAATAATCATTTCCCTTGATCTGCTGGCAACACTCCTACTAATATAGGGCAGTATGCTGTTAGCCACCTTCACAACATGAGCATACTTTTGGCTCATATTCAGCTTATTATCCACTGTAACACCAAACTCTTTTTCTTCAGAGCTTCTTCTTAGCCAATCAGTCCCCAGCCTGTACTGGTGCATGGGATTGTTCCATCCTAAGTGCAGGACTTTGCACTTGTCGTTATTGAACCATATGAGATTTCTTTTGGTGCAATCCTCCAATTTGTGTAGGTCTCTGAATCCTAGCTCTACCCTCCAGCATATCTACTACTTTCTCCAGCTTGGTGTTATCTGCAGACTTTCTGAGGGTGCACTCCATCCCATGTTCTAAATCACTGATGAAGACATTGAACAAAACCAGCCTCTGGGGCACTTCACTTGATACCAGCTGCCAACCAGACATTCATTGAACCTTTGATTACTGCTATTTGAGCATGATGATCCAGCCATTTTTCTATCCACCTTACAGTCCATTCATCGAACCTGTACTTCTTTAGTGTAACAATTCATCTGAACTTTAGGTCTTTGGTTGCAGAGGAGGGAAGGTAGGTTTGCTTCATAGGTATTGAAGCCAATGGCAAAGTATCTGCTGCCTTAAAAAACATTTAATCCTGCTGCAAATTGAACTGTTTGGTCTTTCTGGATGCTTCATAATGTGGCTTGTAGTGATGTGATTGGTTCTTGTTTGTTATAGACTAAGGACATAGATAGACACATGTACACTAGTTTACATTGTTTTGTATGATGTTGTAACTGGCATGAAGAAAAAACATATGTGCAGCTATCCCAGGGAAGTTCACACAATAGACAGCTACTACAGCTCTTTCTCACTAGGCAGAGGGGAGCAGATAACAGACTGTCTGCTTTTAGCAAATTGACATCCCTGGATGGATATGGATTGACCAAACACAAACTTCTGTAAATTATCCAAGTACAGTTTACCCCTAGTTCTTTCAGGGGTAACGCTGTACCAGGTTAGGGAAATCTACACCAGTTTAGGCGGGGGTTCATAGTTTATTCAACACTTTTTTATACAGGTGTTGTGCTAATTCAGTTCTGAATTCAGGCCTCCAAACAGTGCTACAATATTACTTACTGTGTTAAAGACTAGTCAGACTACTAACGATAGGGAACTCTCCCCCTAGTAATTGTGATTTTAATATTAAGTATCTGCTTTCAGCAATCTTATAAAAACAATAATCCCTCTATCCTCCTTTCAATTTCTGATGTACCTACTCTTATCTGAGGCAGGCTAAAATATTCAGAGTTTTCTCTTAGTTTCAGTTAGTATCAAGGAAAAATATCTTTAGGCATCAAGTATGTAATCCATCAATTTAGAGACACATTCTTCCGCAAGATTTTCAAAAATCACTTTAATTCTGTAACATTCAACATTTTGAGTGTCTTTTTTGAGACACTAAAGAGGTCTGATGTTTAGAATATAGTTATTTAGCATTTTCTGATAACCCTTTTAAGAATATTTTGGATTGTTCCCTAAAAAATGAATGCTTTTGGAAATCTTAGAATTAACCTGCAGTGTGCAAGTTTTCTGCCTCCCTGTTGGACTTTTTTCTAAGAATGGCATATGTTTTTTCAGTAAAATATATTTATTTTGGAACCTCTTTATTCATTTTTGCACCATTAAATAAGATAAACTCATGAAAGAGCTATGCATTTCTATCAACTGTTTGATTTGGCATAATCGGGATGTACTGCTGCCTTAACCTCATAAAAAGTTTAACAGATTAAAAATCATGTGCCACAGAAGAATGCTTTAGGATTACATTTTTAAACAATTTGGATGTGATTTAAAAGTTCAGTTATATTGAAGCTGTAATTTAAATACTTATAATATGAAACCCAAGCCAGTTTCATCTTAGATTGTGGTATTTACTGCAAAAGCAGGTGGTCTGCTTTGCTGTTATTGAACTAAATTGTAAGAATGTTATGTTTGTCTAATCCTCTAAGGAATTTTGTCTCTGGTAGAAGGATTTTGTATCCTTAGAGAACCACATGGAAAGAATCCAGAACCACAAACCACAATTTCTAGACTGTGGTTATGCTGGGAAATAAAAGGAAATTACAAAATTTAAAGGGAGCTGAGGAAAACCTCTACAACATGTTCCCATGGGATACATGTACAGTTCCTGTGAAGTATTTTTAGTACAGCAAAAGTCAGTGAGGAATAAGACTAATTCCAGGATGTGTTGTGTTGGCTGAAGTTTGTTATGATAATTTGTGATTTTAACAGGTGGCTTTTTTGTTGTGTGGGGGTATGCTTGGAATTTTGAATTTGCATCATATTTATTCTTTTAATGATTCATTGTTTCCATGTGATGTCTGTTGGACTGTAGTTCATAACAATCTGGTTCAGAAGAATTTTCAAGAAGCTCCACAGTAGAGAGATGTGGGATTAACTGCCCCACAAGAAGGTCTCATACTGTTTACTGATGGAGATTGGTTAAAATCCTGAAGTATGAAGTTTTGTATCTCTTCCAATTTTTTAAGCACTAACTATTAGAACTCTGAATATTTTAGTTAGTCATATAATGCCAAATCCCTTCTAATCTTGCGAAGTGTTTGGCATCACAACAACCTGAGGTGGTGAAAGCCAGGGTCTATTTTTGTGTTGGCAAAAAAGGATTTCCTTTTTCAGTTCTGAATTTGCTGCCTTTTGGTTCCACTGAATGTCCCCTTATTCTTTTGTTTGAGATATAAAGACTGTTTTTGGAGAGAAGGCTGTCAGGCTCTGCTCCATATAAGATATACTATATTGGGTAAAATTTTCAACACCAGTTAAGAAATTTTGAAAATGGGACTTAAGGGCCAGATCCTATTTCATTTACTGGGCATCTAAATGAAGAAGAGGAGGACCTCTCTTCCTTTTTGTATTAATAGTTTGTTCAGAGACTTAAGCAAGGTGTTTCTTTGATCACATTTAGGCATCCAGAGGTCTAATAGGTAAAATAAAATCTGGCCATAAGCACCTAATCCCAATTGAAAATCAGTTGCAGTTATGCAGTTAAGGGAATCACGTGGATCCCAGTAGATGCCTGTCTGCATTATTAGATGTCCAAATGCCTTTAAAAACATGACCATAAGTCCCTTAGGTCCTCTTGAAACTTTTACTCTTTCCCTCTTATGCATAGACATCACAGGTATGTATTTTATGGACTATTATAAGTAAAACAAAGTATCATAAGGAGTGGAAATGCAGAATTACACAGAGGGATTTCTAACTTCTTTTTAATGCATGGAATTTAAGTATAGCAAGAGAAACTAAAATGAGCTAAGATCATAATTATGAATAGGTATGAGTAAAAGCTATTATGTCATTAACAAAACACAGCACGGAAAAGAGATGTGTGTAGGGGGAAAGGTAGAGGTGGAGACTTAGGAAGGGATCCTATTTATTGCTGAAAGCAATCTTTCCTTATTAAATGTCATAAGTATTTCTTTCTTATTTCTTGTCCTGTGATGCTTTCATGCATGGGTGGGGGTGGGGGTGCTGAATATTCAACAGGAACAGCTGTTCGATGACCCTGAGAGATGGCCTCATAAATTGTACATTCCTTTCCTTGCCTGTGCAATGATGTCTTGATAATAAGACAGAATCCCAGATTTGTTCATGACTCATTTGTGCATTTAAGAATTAGCTCTAGGCTGGAGTTGTTTTTATATATAAAATACACAGGAAAAAAATCTAACTGAGTATCTTTTATCACTTAATTCTTTTTCTTTATGTTTTCTATCCATTTCCTTCAGGCACATGGGGGTTTCATGTAGGGCCACATTTGAACACACTTACTCATTCCGTATATGGTCAAGTTTTACTTCACTGAGACTAAATATCCTTACTACTCAGTGGATGAATCTACACATGCAATTAATGCAAAGCAATAAACTCTGGAGCTTATTGCTCTAGAGTTTCTTGCTGCTGGGTGCACCATTTGAACATATGCCCAGGACCGCAGCATGTTGAGCCAGGTTGGAGCAGCCCCGGGCGGCAGGGAGCCCGAGGGGTTATCCTGCCAGCTCAGGGATGCCCCCCTGCCTCCCCTCCCCCCCAGGATCAACATGCTTCAGGGGGATGGCTGGGGCATGAGGGTGATCAGTGGAGGGCTATTCAGCAGACAGGCCACACACTAAAGCACCCTCATACCCCAGACAGCCAAGGCAGCATCTACACATGCACTGCTGTAGAGTAGAAGGAGTTAATTAGTTTACTCCAACCTAATGGGGGCACACATGTAGACGCAATGTTTACTGTGGAGCTAATTAGTAAACTCCACAATAAACATCTCATGTCAATGGACCCAGTGTGAGTAAGGACTCCACAGTTTGGCCTCATTGGCTTATTGGCAGTTTTGGATACATGTGAAACACTTCATACTTTTTGTTTTAGAAAAATGTGATAAACATGTGATCCTTATTTTATAACAGCCTTATTCTAAGACTTAAACGGGCATAATTTACTTCCTATCTAATCTTAATTGTCTGCACCTGCTCTGGTGAACTTCTTCCTTTCTTCCTGTGTTTCACATATCCTCAGGAGATTGCAAAGCCTGGGCTGCTTTCCCTCCCCAAATCTTTTGGAGAGAGTTGTACTGAAAGTAGAGAATTCTTATACTCACGTAGTGAAAGGACTGCCATTGCATTCAAATCCAGTGTGGAAGGTTCAAGTAGGAGAGATTCTTCTAGTGCCCTCTGTCTCATACATACAGCGAACAGCTGTATACATTCTGAAATTTTCATTAATTGCATTTTTGGAATATTACTTATGCACCCTTAATAGTCCATTAACTTAAATGTTTTGTGTTGAGTCCATTTTGTTTACCTAGCTTTGTTTTTTTTCTTTCTGTCTGTAAGGTTGATCTCAAAAAATTTTCTAATGAGCAACATTCACATATCATGCTGTATAAGCAACACTAGGTTAGGCCTCTGTAACTTTTTCTGGAATGAGGGATAAATCAAATTGTGCAGCAGATTTGTACAGCCTTTGCATTCCTATAATGGAACCCCCATTCATGTTCCTGCTTACAGGAAGAAATGCACCTCTAAAAGAATTTGCTGTGTGTTCTCCTTAAATAAGGCTTTTAGATTATTTTAATCCTTCATCTTCCTCTAAAGTTTTTTATATATATTTAAAACCTTAAATATCATTTATACATAGCATTTTATAGCTGTATTTTATATTGTGCACTTAGTTATTTAAACTTTGAGTTCTTTGATCACTGAAAATATAAAGGACTATACTTGTTTTCTTGTACTTTCCTTTGACTGTAGCCAACTGGCTTCTCTAATCCAGAAAATTGGAGGCAATGAAACTCTCTTCTTGCCATGTGCTTGCTGTCAGCCACAGACATAAGAAAAGGGTCCTGTTTTGGCTCTCTTCCCTCTTCCTAATCTGGCATTATTCCTTTCTATATGACAAAACTTCCTCTCAGAGGCAAGGGGCATTGTATAAGCTATAGGAGGTAAGCATCCAAAAAAGACAGTGCCACCTCCCTTTCCACATCCCTTAGGAACAAGACTAATAATAAGAAAAAGCTCAGAAAGTAAATGATGAAGTTTAAAGCCAATGCCTGGTGAATTTATGGTTGAAAGAGATTACTGAGACAAATAATACAATTATATATTCATTTTAAAACTTGTAGAATTATTTGTAGATTGTTAAGATTTTACATAGATACGGAAGGTCAACAAACAAAGGTATCAAGTATATGCTTAAGGCCATACTGTTGTCATGAATGGTAAGGTAAGAATTTTACATTTGGTATCCAGGGTGTCAAACAGACAACCTGCAGAGACTCTCAGCCTGCCCAACCAGCAGGCACTAGAAGCCGAGGAGTCTGGCCTGCTGCACAATCCATGGCCCCTCAAGGCCTGGCCATCAGTGGAGAGCTTGGCGCACTGCCACTGCTAGACTGTTCTCCCAGACCCTTCACCACCACCTCTGTCACCACGGTGGCCACTGTGACAGCCCACATAGCTTGGGAGCAAGGTGCTCTATGGTCCAAATCTGGCCCAGGTGACTTTGACACCCTTGATCTATATAACACTGCATAAACATCAATTATTTTGAGACATATTGTCAGAAGTTGATGGAGGTATGGAAGATAATATCCCCTTACATTAGCATAAAAACATATTTTTCCAGAGGTTTTTTTGAGTAAATTCCTACAAAACAAGTCCTTTCATTATTAGCATAATGGTATCTGTTGGATTTGCTTTGCATTATATTCAATCAAAGACAAGGCATCCTTTATCTTTCAAAATAATCATTAATTATGTAAAACTGAACATGGAAGGAAAAGTTATTATCTGGCTTTCTTCCTATAAAATAAAGAATTCCAAAACTTTAGAATATCAGATTAGTCCTCAAGTATCTATTATATATTAATTTATCTCATCTCTCTTTCCTAGGAGCTTGAGCTGCCAAAGGATCACCCTCCATAAAAATCTGTTTTTCTCTTTTGTTTGCAATTCCATTGTTACAATAATTTGGCTGACTGCAGTTGCCAACAACCAGCCGTTAGTTGCGACTAATCCAGTAAGTGAAAGCGTATTTGGCTGCCTTGTTGATTTGTGTGGGAAGAGATTTAGCAATGAAAATGACATAAATGAGGGATGAATAGCTGATGAAAAGATGTATATAAAAACTAAAATGTTTCAATTACTGTACCAATGAATTCATTTTTAATATAACAGCAGATGTCTAGAAGCAGCTTAGCCAGTTTGGGTATGAGGTTTCAAAATCACAAGGGGATTAATTAAATAGACAGCCTCAGATATTTCAGATTTTGATCTGGTATCGTGTATCATGTGGAGCTTCATTTTACCCAGTGCTAAACATCTACAAGATAGACACAGAACCAGAAAGGATGACTGCTGTGGACTTGTGCCAGGGGTCTACAGACAGCTTAAATTTGCCCAAAGGGTGGCAGTCAGAAAGGCTGGGGTTTAATCCAAGGGTCTACAAACTGCTTTCATTGTGGCTTCAGCTTTCCTTTCTTTAAAGTGTGATAATAATAATTTGCTACTTCACTCAAGGGCAGTTGTGGAGCTAAAATGGATTAATTAGTTAGGGCTAGATTGTGGGGCCTGTGTTCATGTTGGTGACTATTTACATTGAGAGTCTTGGTAATTCTGGATGTTTTGAAATATTTTAATTAATATTTAGTGAAATACATTGTTGTTATATAATGTTGCAGTCCTTATAAGTAATGAATTTAATGGCTAGCACACAGATGTTCTTTTCTCATGGGTGGTTTAATATGTTTACTATATTGGATATAATACATTTCTGGGATTTACTCTAAATTAAAATGGTCTTGCCATATGCTTTTGTATGTTTATTTTTAAGGGAATGATTATCTTAGCAATCCAATGAAACCAAGCCTAGATCCATATATAGCTCTGGTGTAGTAAATAACTTTCATTTTACTGGTTTTAAAAAAAAAGGTATCCCAAAACATTCAGTTTTGTCCTATTTCAACAGAACTCAGACTTGTGCTCCAAAGCCAAGTAACAATAATTTTTTTTTTAGGTAGAGATTGATTTTTTTTTCTTCTCCTATTCCTATGGTGATATAATTGAAGATTTTTTAGAGAGTGCCCAATTTAAAGAGGGAGAGATGTGTGGGCCTGATTTTTATATCCTTTACTTGGGGATAAATTGGTAGAGAAAAACCAGAGAGGAAAATCAAAGCCTATAGACAATTTCTGCTTAGTATAGTTGGCACCAGGGCTAACCATTCAAGAGATTATTCTCATTTTCCTGGAGAAAGTACATGCACTGATTCTACTGGAGCAACTAATGTAACTGAGAGGGTGATAAAGTAGCATAAGTAAAGTGGGGCAAACAGGGAAGTGCCAGCTTGTGGTGGGAAGAGGAATGGGGGGAGTGGAAAAAACCACTGCTACTGCAACTATACAGTCATGCTAGTGGCACAGCAGCAGCCAGAAGTCACTGCTGCCCCTGTATGTTTTAACTGCTGAAGGTGCTTTGCTACATTGTTATATGCCTCTGGGATAAGAGACCTAAGTGAAAGATCTTCGTAGAGAAGTTGGCCTCAGATAATTGCACAAAGGAATTTTTATTTGTCAAAATGAGTACATTTACGTCCAAGTAGGCAAGGAACCTGTGAGAGGAGAACATAATGTTGAGGTTTTTCTTGACGCACACCATGTTGCTGGAGGCTGCTAATGTACCCAGAATCAAATCAGTGAAACTGTTACCTTCTGTGTGGGGCCTCTGAATGTAATCATGAGAGTGATGCTAGGAATAAAAACATATCAAAGCAACATTTATAATGAAGCAGGGTAATCCAGTGCTTTCCACTTTGCCATTGATTCTCATTAGTACTATTGCAGCCAAATTATTTATATTTTATCTTTCTTTTTTTCCCCTACAGGTTAGTTGCAAAGTGTCTCAGTTCATTTACCTGTATCTAATGGGTTGCAATTACTTCTGGATGCTCTGTGAAGGCATTTATCTGCATACTCTCATTGTGGTGGCTGTCTTTGCAGAGAAACAGCATTTAATGTGGTATTATCTTCTTGGCTGGGGTATGCAATACATATGTTCTTTCTTTTTCTTTTTTCTTTTTTTTGGGGGGGGGCGGGGGAGGAGAGGGGACCAAAAACTACCACTATGACACTTGGGGTATGATGTGCAAAGCCTTTATTATTTTCAGTTTCAAATGGTATCATTTACTTTTTCTGAGCAATTCAGAGTGCACCAGACAATATTGTTTCTCTGAAATAAGAAGCAATATTGCACAAGAATGAAATACAGTTCTTTCTTTAATATTTTAACGATGTTAGAATTCTTAACTTAACAAATCCTTTTGCACATACCTCTATCTTTGCATTTGTAGAGTCAGGAAGTGACTCCTCCTTTGTATAGAGAAAATAGTCTCCTATTATGAAAAGACATTAAGAAGTAATTATTCATTGTTTCTCATTTTTAAAATGTTTATACAGGAATTAATGTTTATTTTCAAAGAAGTCTCGCCATGCCTAGGTGGAGGGTCAGAAACTGACTTGGAGAAGGCCAACCATTTATTTTTCTAGCAGTTCCATTTGACCTATATTGTTCAAAAAGTAGAGAGAGAACTACTGTGTCTAGAGATCTCAATTATAAAATAGCAATATAAAAAAGCAGCCAGCCAAATCTGACAGATTTCAATAGAATAAAGAACACATTTTCAAAAGTCAGATTTCAGTCTTCTGATTATATTTGCACAATGTTTTAGCCCTAAATTGTATAAATTATCAATAGTTTTGGATACTTCTGTTTTTGACTGCTCAGACTCAAAAACTAGCTTAATTTTAGAGCCTGGAGGTGCTTGTAAACGTGACAAGGGTTTAGTTCAGTTTAGTTTTCCCTAAATTGGAATGGTTGATTTTTTTTTTTTTTTTAAACGCACCATTTCCAGTGTTTCAATTTAGGCAGAGCTAAACTGAACTAACCCCTCATTGCACATACCCAAGGGTTAGGGGGCCCAATCCTTAGAGCCTACCTGCCAATCCCATGGCAGGGCGGGGGAGGCGTTGAGCTGCTGGCTGCATGAATGGTCCCTGAGCTGCAGAGGACACTAGTGCTTCACTCCACGGTAGCAGTGCCCCCTAGGCAGCACCCTCCTGCTGGCACCTGGTCTAGGTGGCACCACCACCATGGAAGGAAGCACCAGGCCTCACACAGCTCAGGGCCTGTGCAACCCAGTGACAGCTCATGCAGGCAGGCTTGACTGAAGGGACAAAAAAAGCAACAAAGCAGCAAGGAGCTTTCATAGTTTCATAGTTTCTAGGGTCGGAAGGGACCTGAGCAGATCATCTAGTCCGACCCCTGCCATGGCAGGAAGAGCACTGGGGTCAAATGACCCCAGTAAGGTGGTCATCCAACCTCCTCTTAAAAACCCCCAGGGTGGGAGCCTGCACCACCTCACTTGGAAGCTGGTTCCAGAC